CTGTCTATCAGTTGAAACAGGAGTGTCAGCAGCACTTGGAAATTTTATTTCTACCAATTTAGTGACTGAAAAGCTTGCCAGGCCAGGGACCGTTCTGACCTTCTTTCATGGAATAATTACTTTTTGCCTTTGTAAGCAGAATTTCATTTTTATGTCTGGGCCCCAATCCACCATACAAAAGATGGTCCTCCTGTCCTGTCATGTAGTCAGCTTATAGGGTTTCAGTGCCTACCGTGTGCCCCTGCACTGTGCTTGGTGCTAGAGATGGGTGTCATGTTCCCTAGGGGGAAGAGTGGCCACATGGGGAGATGGGGAGGGCGAAGGGAAGATTCTGGAATGATGCTCAGGAGGAGGTGACCATGTCTGACTTAGATTAGGAAGAGGGAGGCTGTGTTGAAGGATTGGGGCTTGTCCTAGGCATTCTATTCCTGTGTAACCAACTATCCTAAACTTAGTGGCTTGAAATAATTACCATTTTATTTATTGCATGATTCTGTGGTCAGGGGTTTGGGCAGTATTCAGCTGGCTAATTCTTCCCCATATGGTATCAGCTGAGATCATTTGGTGGTAGTCAGCTGATGGATGGATTGGTCTGGATGGTCCAAGATGGCTTCACTCACGTGACAGGTGTCTTAACGGGCTGGTTAGAAGACTGGGCTCAGCTGGGACTGCTGACTGAAGTGCCTACATGTGTCTTCCCCAGTATGGTGGTCCCAGGTTTCTTACATGGATGCTCAAGGCTTGCAAGACTTGCAGGCAGAAGCTGTCAGGCCCTTTCAGACCTGCCTACGAAGGTCTCAGAACATTACTTCCTCCACATCCTGTTGGTAAATGAGACGCTAAGGACAACCTGGGTTTAGAGAGAAGGGAATTAAACTCAGCTGTCAGTGGGAGAAGTAATGGGAATTTGTGGCCACCTCTAGTCTAGCACACTGTGTCCTTGATAGGAGAGCACAGGGAGACATGCAGGGGAGAATGTTGGATAGGGTGTTGGGTGCGTGACACGTGACTTGTAGATGTGGATGCAAAGATCAAATAAATGATAGTGGATTGAGGCATCAGCAAGTGTTGGAAGTGGGACAGTGGAGTGGAGTACCCTTTCACGATTTTTGACCCTGAGAAGATAGGAATGGAGACTGAGTGAGACTGGGGAGGTGGTGGGGGTGAGGTGGGGTGGGGTGGGGGTTGCTTGTTCTCACTTTGGATGTTTGCTTTGAATACGGTGAGGTCATCAGTGACCTGATCTTTTCCAAATCATGGTTATGCTTTTGTGTTCTATGAACTGACCTCTTAACTGATTAAACACTGCTGACATTCTCTTGTCTTTGATGATAAAACTTTCTCCTGGTCCTTCTGCCTGTAATGGTGAAGGGATTATTTCTTTAAATGGTTGTATTTCCCTGGGTTTGTCCTGGCTGTCTTCTTTCTTCTGTACCTTTTTCTTGGGTAACCTCATTTACGCGTATGACTTCATTGGCCACACCCGTATGGTGAAGGCACCCAGGTCTCTCACTTCTCTTGCCTCCTACATGTCTTCCCCAGATATCCTTGTAATTCCTGTTTTGCTTTTGCGTAAGGCCATCATCCTGGCCCAGGCCAGAAGCCTGTATGACGTTTTCCTTCTCTGTCCCTCCCTCTCTGCAGCCAGACAGGTTTGCCTTAAAGTCCAGGGCTCAGCTGTGGGCATCCGCTGAGGCACTGTGAAGCGTGCATGCCTGGAGCCCTGTCCCAGAACTGCTGAGGCAGGAGCTCTTTAGGCCTGGGCATATGTGTATTTATGAAACTTCCCTGGTGATTCTGATGTCCATGTAGCATTGAAAACAGCTGTCTACCATTTCTGTCTAATTCTCCCACTCATTTCCACCATTGCTGCTTTGTGGTGTAGTTTCCAGTAGCTATTGAAACAAATTACCGCAAACACGGTGGCCTACACCTGTAGATCTTACAGTTGTGGAGTCTGGAATCAAGGTGTCAGCAAGGCCATGTTGCCTCTGAAGGCCCCATGGGTAGGTCTTTCCTGTCCCTCTTCCCGCTTCTGGTAGCTCCAGGGATTCCTTGGCTTGCGATTATCTAACTCCAGTCTCTGCCTTCATCTTCACATAGTCACCTCTCTCCCTGCGTCTCTCTCCACTGTGTGTCACTTACAGAGATGCTTGTCATTGGATTTAGGGCCTCCAGTAATCTGGGATGATCTCATCTCCAAATCCTTAACTACATATGCAAGGACTATTTTTATGAAGAAGGTCACAGTCACAGTTTCTGGAGTATGGACACATCTTTCTGGGGCCACCATTCAACCCCTTACCCTGTGGTTAGGATAGTTCTCCCATCTGATCATCCTGAGTCTTACCTGGATGTCCATCTTGCTCTGGGCTGCCCTAATGATTAGTTTGTATCCAGTCATGCCAGTTTAGCTCCCCATCCCCACAGGGTGAAAAGCCGTGCCCCTTATCATATGAGTACCGGGCGGTTGTAATCTGAGCCCTGCATACCTTTTACTCTCCTAGCCTACTTCTCTTGAACCTGATGCCCTCATAGTACCGAACTACCTACGTCCTCCTTGCCTTTGTACATACTGTTGCCCCACATCCCCCATTTAGTCTTGTTCAGATTTCAAGACAGTTAAGCAGTCTGCTCCATGAGGCCTTCCCTAATGTGCTTTGTGTGACTACGTGTGTCTTGTTGCATGAGTGTTTTACCTTTACACATTGTGCCTTTCTCTGCTTCTAAGCTGAGAGCTCTCAACGCAGGGTTGCTGGTCTTCATCATTATAGTTCTAGCCCTTGGCATTATAAATATTGAATGAGTGACCATGTAGCTTAACCTAATTAGAAACTTCTCATCTTGACACTGTTTTTTCCACTGTTAACCTTAATTACTGCCAGTGGGATTTTTCACTGATCATCATCTAGGTGTATTAGGTAGGCAGTCAATACATAGTGTATTATTTGCTTAACCTGCAGTATCTCTGTATCTGTGCCCAGGAAATTAAATTAAAATGTTTCTGCATATGTTAAGGTGGACATTTCTTGTTTTCATTTTTTCCCCCATGATACTAGTTATGGCTTTGTAGTGTACAGAAACCAACCTGAGTTAGCTCAAACTAGAAAGAATTTCATGTACAAGGGTCAGAGTACATCGGGGTCAATGGAAGCCCTTAAGGATCCTCTTTCTGTTTCTTTCTGTTGCTAGTCTCTGTTCATCTGCTTCATTCCTTCCTTCTCTGCTTCTTCATCACATAACAGATTGTGACATCCCCACAGCTTCTGTGCTAACATTTTACAGCTCTAACTATCCACAGAGATGGGCTGGTTGTCCCTTAGCCGCTGAGAATGTCACTGGCCAGCTAGGGCCAGGTTTCTGCCCCCAGCTGTTCAGCTCCAGGGTGGTGGTGGGGGCACTGGCCTGGCCTTTTCATTCAGATGGGGTGAGGGGCTCATCACAGGGAGTTAAGAGAGAGATTCCTGAGAAGGGAGTGCTGTGAGCAGATCCCTGTAAAACATCTGCCACGCTTCTTCTAGGTTAACTCCTGTTGACCAGCAGAGAACTGGGAAAATGTGAGGGGCACAAGAAACCTTGCCGGGTGTTGTATCAATTGCCTCTAGGCCTCAGTGATGACCATGTTCCTCTAAATTGTTTGAAATTCTGGCTTTAATTGATTCACATATGTTTCTTTTAATACAGATTATTCATTTTGATTGAAGTGATATGGAAATATATTAAAGCAAAGTGAGTTTATAATGGTTGTTTAGTTACAGAGATGTACAGTATGTACAAAGGCAATCACAAATATGTGTAAGAAAATAATGTACATTCTGATCTTGCCTCAGAAAAAAGAGGAATAAGACTTGAAATAAATTATCTCTGTGTTCTAGAGATGTTTTTATGGAGCTGACATTCCTTTGTGATGACAGTGGAAACATTAAAAACACAGCAGGAATAACTTCTAGTGATAATTTAAATCCATTGTCATACTATTACTACCAAATTGTAAAACAAACACAAATCCCTTTGTTCCAACTTTTCCTGTTCTCTGTGGGCCTTCTGTCCCATTTGCTGTCCTGGCCACCATGTCCTTCTTCTGTTGTGATTAGACAAGTGGCAGAGGCAAGACTTAAGAGAAGCAGCAGCTATCAGACCCGCCGCCCCTGCCTGTGAGGGTTTAAGGCAGCCAAGAGCAGTCATATTTACCCATGTACATTTAAAATGACTTCTTTCCCTTCAGTTCTCTTTTTCTCTTGAAAAGAACTTCTCCCAAAGGGGAGGTGGAGAGTGGTCCTGTCAGTGTGGTGACATGAGTCCACAGTCAGATCACACAGGACCCACCAATCCGGAGTTTAAGAATGCACTTAAACCTGAAACACTAACTGCAGTCCTGCATCTCCTTTAAGCACTGATATTAGCTCAAGGCATTGATACAGGCAGTCAGCTTGAGGACATGTGTTTTCCAGCTGACTTTTTAAGCTATTTGACAGTTTGTGTGTTCAAATGGAAATGAGGAATCAATGTAGTGAACTTGGAGCTTTTAAGAATGTAACTGAACTTGGTTTTCTTACAAATAAAGATCCTGCAGACGTTAACATGATTTGTGAGATATGAGGTTTAATTAGCAAGCTATTTTCTAACTAGTTCATTTAAAAATATTTCTTGAGTGTTTCTCTGGGGTCTATTGGAATGATGCTTGCTGAATTGAGCCAGCACTAATACAGCCTCTGCAGAATTCTCATGTACTTATTTATACTCTCTTTCCAGAAAGATTTGAAGAGTCTGACTTCATAGAATAGGAAACCTGTAATTACTTTGTATATCACTTTTAAGTTTCTAGAAGTGATTTGAATTTTATTATAGCCAAAGTCTATTTTGCAGCCCATTTCTTTTGTGGGGCATCTAGTGGGCAACTCTTTAGAACCGACCATTCCTTTTCCCTTATTCCATCTAATTTTAGTTCTTAAGACTTTTAAAACCTGCAAATAAATAAACTCTTTCATATCCATTTATAGGTACAACGGTGCTTTACCTAATGGAGACAGAGGTCGGAGGAAAAGCCGATTTGCTCTTTATAAACGGCCGAAGGCCAATGGAGTCAAACCCAGCACGGTCCATGTGATATCTACCCCACAGGCGTCCAAGGTAGGTGGCTCCTGCAGAATGGGGTGGGCCTCGGAAGACAGGACTCATGGTTATTCCTTATCAGCTGCTTTTTTCCTTTCCATCTTATTCTTCTATGGGACAGAATTTCTCAGCCATTAGAAGCTGGGTCCTTCTCTGCTGTGAAGGCCTGTCCTATGCAATATATGCTTATCTACATCCCTGGCTTTGACCTAGTAGATGCCAGTGGCACATTATCCCCACCCCCAACTGCCACTGTCAGTGTGGACAACCAAAAATGTCCCCAGACATTGCCACATATACCCTACTGGAGTTGGGGTGGGTGGGCAAACCCTCCCCACCCTTCACCCCGTGATGAACCTCTGTGTTGGGATATAGTGGAACCAACATAGATCGATTAGAATAGCTATGGTTGAAAGGTAAATGCTCATTATCCTAAATAATTTTTGTATTAAATCTTGGTATAAATAGCATTAAGATTTTTCTTTCTTCTGTTAATTGAGTAGTGGGTGTTTTCACATAATCTATATGTACATGGAATTGAATTTGTGTAATTATTAGAAAGATTGGAAGTAAACAGAACAAAGTGATATAATAAGTCTACTATATGTATTTCATCTCATAAATTTGAAGTATATAAAATGTTAATTTTTTATGATTATTTCATTTGTTTCCTGATATATGAGTGGGGAAAAACCTGAATTTCCATTCTGATTGTTAATATTCTAGCTGTTTTATGACAGTTTTTCTTTTAGTTAAATAAATTCTTTAATTCATTAATATACTTCCTTTTCTATAAAATACTATTTACCTGAAGTATTTCACGTGGGGCACTGACTGTACATGACTGTTTATCATAATGGATTTGGACCATCTGGAGTAAGTAAGACTTGATTCCCATTTTTACTGAAAACCGTGGTTCAAAGAGAAATGAATAGCTTCACGGGAGCACATGTGGTATTTATACTCAGGCTTAGAAACAGATCACCTTTGTTAGTGTTTTTATTAAAAAAACTCTTGTGTCTGAAGCAGTGCCATGAAAAAAGTTTGCTGGAATGTACCAATTAAGATTGTTTTGTATTAATGAGGAAATGGTTAGATCAGAAAATAGTAAACACCAAGAAAACAGGAAACAGGAAAGATTGCTATTTAGGGTCCAAGCTTTTGGCTAGAGAAAGGGAAATAAAGTAAAAGTTTGAGGAAAGGAAGAACACTTTGTAGGGAAAACAAAGGAAATCAGCCTTACAAAGCTTTTGAGAAAAGGAGGAAGTGAATTAGCAACAGAACTTTAGAAGGCTGAGAAACATTTTTGAGTCCATGATTTTTTGGTGGTGAAGGGTAGCAGGACAAATGTTTTTAAGCATATGATGATAACTCAGTTGTGATCCTTATAATTTTGTCTATATGTTGACATTTCTTTCCTTTGGCTCTAATTTTTTTACTTTTTTAGTCAGATTTTTGAATCAGTTAATAAAATTGGCTTCAGATATTTAGAAAAACTTCCAGATATCTTGATTACTCTGGCTTCATATTATGATAGAACATGAGATATGGCTAGAATCTGAAATCTCTTCTAATAGCTACTATTGGAAAATCAGTGGCTCTTCCTTATTCACCACCCCCATATGCTACAGTTTTAGCTTTCTATGTTTCATCTTGATGCCTGTATTTTACCCAAAGCTATTTAAATTATAACTCTTCTGGGAATTGGCCGTCTAAAACTGTTTAAAAATGTCACCCACAGTTCTAGTTAATAGGGAAAATTGAGGTTTGGTTTTGTAACCTGGCAAAAATATATTCTCAGGGCTTTAATTTCTTCATTTATAAAATTAATGAGTTGGCTATATGCAGGGGCCATCTTGAATCAGGTAAAATACTTCAGTTAAAGCAGCAGAAATGATTCTGGCTGAAAAAAAAACAAATGGAGAAATGATGAAAAGTTAGGATATTAACAACTCTCATAATCTGGGGGAAAAGTTGAGTCACTAGGTTTTGAGAGAGAGGACAACTGAAGTATCAATAGAGGTTAACAAGGATATTCTTTCAAGGGTGTTACATTACAAAGTAACTCGGCTCCAACTACCTTCTATCTCAAAGGTTTTGCATTTTCAGAAATTACAACCTGATAGACCTAGCCCGAGTCAGTCAACCACGACCAAGAGCCATGAGTGTACCAGAATTCCTTACTGTGAGCTAATCAACTACTTCATACTGCCTTACCCTGGTGCGTCTCACTCATGTTGAGGGCCTTGTACCTAGTGACCCACCCTACAAGACCCTAGCACCTTACAGATCCCTTGCCCATTCTGTTCCCTCTCATACTCCCATCCACCCCTGGTCAGATTTTTCCTGCCATTCCTGCTGCCACCTGCTCGGTTTCCCCCTAGACAAAGTCTGTTACATGTTTACCTTTTCTTCAGATGTTCTTCCTGCTGCCTCATCTGATTCCTGGTATTTCACCAATATACTCTTTTTTCCATCTCTTCCAATTGACAGTATTTGAAGTGATTTCATTCTGTTTATGTTTCAGTCTCTTCTTTTTTAACCCTACATTATTGATGTAAACTGCCTCTTTGCCTGCTTCTCCTGACCTCATGGACCCGCCATTCATTTCTCTGCATATTTCAATGTGTATTTCACTGCCCAGCCCAGTCTGTTCTCCTCAGCCCCTAGTAAACCATACATTAGCATCCATGGCTCATAGTGCTTTTCACTTATTCCGTTTTAGAGACTTGGCACCTCTGTTTTACTTTTTCACTGATATAGTGGACATTATAGTCATTGCCATTAAAAGTGACCATTATTTTCATCTTACTTGTATATACATATACTTCTTATCTAATCTCATCCAGACATCCAGCCCTTTATCCTGCCCTTATTTGCCACAGTTGTTAGCCTGCTTAGCTTCTAGTTATGTGTTGACTTCACCCCCTATTCCTTTTCCCTTGTACTTTTTGACACTCCTCTAAATGAGTCCCTGGCTGTGGGCCCTTCCCAGGCTCTGATGGACTGTTTTCCTTGTCTTCCTTCTTGCGTACCCGGTTTCTCACCAGAATGTCAGGGTATGTGGTAGTCCTTGGCAAAAGCTGTTTGACCTGAATCAGCAGTAGTTTGCTCTAAAATTTGATTCTGCAGTATTTGTAATGAAAGGGTCCTCTTTGTTTGGAGTTGTAATTGTGGGGCCTTAAAAGGGTGGGTGTGGTTGTCATTGTTAGAATTTGAGTGCTTGGCCTTTTGACTGTGTTTTGTTTTGTTTTGTTTTCCCCCTTCTGCCCCACAATCTGGGGGCAAACCAAGGCGCATTCCTTAGCTGATGGTAGTGACAGCTGGGAAATGGGACCTTTTAGTCTTCCATGCATGCCAATGTCCAAGCTAATTCAGATGAGGATGGGGAAGTATGTGCTGCTATTGTGTAATGGCTGTTTGTGTAATCTTTGTGTACATATTTGCTCTTGGAATAGTAATACTCAAAGATATTTGTCCTCTTACATAATGTGTTTTAAAAAACCTAAAGTCCTGTTTTACTTTTGGCAGTTGGTTACATAGCCATAGGGCATTTCAGCAATTTATTCACCATTTGTTTATTCAACAAATATATATCTAGCACTTTTCTGTAGCCAGGCATCATGCTAAGTATTGGATGTAGTGGAACAAATGTATCTGCATGGAGCTAATTGTCTATCAAGCAGGCAAACAATAAGTAATCATGTGAATACATATTTAACTGTGTATTATGAAAAGCACAGTGAAGGCAAAGAAATAAGGTGCTTGAGAAAAGGGAGCAGAGTTTAGACTGGGTAGATAGCGAAGGCTTTCTGAAGACATGGCATGTGAGCTTCAAGCTGAGGGGTAAATAGGGAGTTAGCCAGGAGGGTAGGAAGATCTGGAGCTCTTGTCCTGTTTGAACAATTTCAATTTTTTTTTTATTGCTTAGGTAAGACATTGAGGAGTGTTAAACAGAGGAAATGGCATAATATGATGGAGAATTTCAGTTGATTTACATTTGTTCATTTTCTTTTTAATGATGTGGAGCAACTGTTTGGCTATTATTTAACTTGTAAGTAGTATTATAGTGGTGATGGTGCCTGATAAGCAAATATTTTGCTAGCAGACATGGTTTAAACTTAGCAACATTTCTGTGGAAAACTCTTCATCATGGCTTTCCCTTCTTAGATTGTGCCTTACTGAAATCTCCTTTTTTAGTTATTTTTACTTTCAAAAAGTAGCTGAGTATCACTTTGTTCCACTTGGCATATTCCAAATGGAAAGTATCAGTGGCTTTGAAGTGACTATTTAGAGAAAAATTAGGGCCATTTAATATGATCGTTGCAACTGGACTGCACTTAAGCTGTTTGCACTAGAACAGCTCTACTGGTGATAAGATATTGTAACTCTTCCTTATTGGTCTGTGAATAATGTAATTATAACTGAGAAGCAGAGCAACTAATATAAATTTCAATGTAAACTCATACAGGCTGTAACAGAATTTACTTCTGAAGCACTTACTGTCTGTCAAGCCTGCGTCCAGGGGAAAAAAGAAGACTCAAGTAAAATTAGAAAGAGGTGATGTTACACCTGATAACACAGAAATAGAAAGCTCATAACAGACTACTATGAACAAATACATGCCAAAAAATTTGTCAACCTAGAAGAATTGGGCAAATTAACTAGAAACATACAACCTATCAAGACTAAATCAGAAAGAAGAAAACCTAAATAAATTAATTAATATTAAAGAGATTGAATCAGTAATCAAAAGCCTCCCTACAAACAGAAGTCAGGACCACAGAACTTCACTGATGAATTCTACCTGACCTTTAAAGAATTAATCCTTCTCAAATTCTTCCAAAAAATGGAAGAGAAAGGAACACTTTCAAACTCACTACTATGATATCAAAACCAGACAAAGATACATGAGAAGAAATTACATGTCAATATTCCTAATGAACATAGATGCAGAAGTCTTCTACAAAATATTAACAAGCCAGATTTAACAGTATGTTAAAGGATCCTAAAAGGAT